GGAGGTTTGTTGTCGGGACATTGAGGCGGGTAAAGCTGTACAGCTAACTGTCGAAAAAAAGGAGACCGCTAGATCGTCTGGGCAAAGAGAAAGGTACTTCAACGCAGAATGGTACAAAAACAGAGAGTGGTTAATTATTTGCAAAACCACTAAACGGGCCTTCTGTGAAATATGCAGATTTGCTGCTGTCAAACGGCTTGTAACTTTCTCAAAATGTGGAGATGATAGCTTTGTTAATACCGGAGTTAATAACTGGAAAAAGTGCCCAAGCCTCCATGAACAGTTGTCTCTGACTGTACGATGGGTATCAGCTGATTATGTTGTCCATGAAGACTTCATAGTATGACTGTCCTAAGACTGACGCAGAATCAATAACCCACTGATAAACTGCGATGTTAACAACCTCATGATAACCTCATATGTTTTTAACTTAGGATCATAGGCTACCTGTGTTTAGTCTAGAAAAAGGTAATTGTGTGCATTTTATTATAAAGTTGTGTATATTTACAGACTGTTGCAAAAACTAATAAGCTTATAAACATAAGGTTTAAAACTAAAAGAGCTTTACAAAAAAGTAACACAATTAAAGATGTTTGGAGTTTTATTTGAGTTATTAATTTACATTTTTTGTCAAAGAGATGCTGATTTGAAACCGTTGTAGTTACGGCATTTCCTGTTTCTGCCGGAGAGAGGGGAGTTTGTCCCAAAGCTTGCCGCCGTCTCCCTCCATCTGACAGGAGGGAGCCTCATGTGTCACTCCACGGAGTTCACTCCGTCACGGAGGGGGAGTGTGTCGGGCGTAGTTTGGGATTGGGCCATACACACGCACTTTTTTGGCCCCCCCACTTCTAAAATGAATCCGGCGCGCCTGACTAGCAGTAGCTACTCACAGTAGCTACTGGCCATGCTACAGCAGTGAGCAGCAGAGGCGGGGAGAGGTGGGGCTATCGTTATTTTTTCAGGACATATTCGTATAGAGGCGATTACACGGACTCGTTTGACCCCCCAGAGAGTTTCGTTTGCAAATCTATCCACCTTGGGACCCGTTATCGTTTGTGGGGTCCGTTTCTATCGGCCTCGTGTAAATAATAGGGCTATACGTAAGAGAAACTATGCAGATACAAGCCGTTTTGTCCTCGTGTAAACGGCACCTCAATCTCTATTCAGCTGTTCTGAAGGTAAACACAGTGAAGGCGCTGCGTAAAAGACACAGCTTTCTGCGCACAGATAGCAGATAAAGTGAGAGTCACGGACATGAATCCATAGATCAAGGCAGACTGGTTCACAGACTCTCCTGTTTTGCGAATCCGGTGCTTAAACAAATAGCTCTACACCTCTGGCCGAAATGTCCCTAAAATGAAGTCCGAGTTTGAAATATATCTCAAATAATGAAATAATGTATGCACTGTCATTTCCCCACATAAACATAACAGTCTGCAATTAAACGGTTGTCTCCTGTGCGCTCCACTTGGCGCACCGGTAACTTTCTCGTGCGAACGAGAAAGTATCTTGTGCGCACGAAAAAGTATATCGTGTGCACAAATTAATAAAACGTGGCCTCGTTTTATAATATATTGCACTTGAAATAATCAGCTAAAACAAGAAAAACTAGGAGTGAAATTAGGAAAAATAAATACATTAAATTGCACCTATGATAAAAATGTTGATTGTTCTGCATGTTGTTCCATGCTGCAGCTGCACAATGAGAACAAATGGATTCTCTAAAATGACTAAAAACAGCTGACTCATGCAATCCAATCATTGAGCGTGTTCGATAAGGGCCGACATCATGAGAAAGCAAGGAAGTAAAGTATGGGGGTAGAAAACCAGTGAGGGTCTTATAAATAAATAAAAGTCAGTGTCTATTCACTGAGAGAGAGAGGGCAGCTTACATGTATAAAATGTTGCATAATCCAAAAGTGATAATCAAGTTTCCTCAACAAGCATCCTTCTAACACGCAGAGGAAAACACATTATTCCTATAATTTAAAAAAAATAGTTTTCCTTAACATGCTCACAAGTTTAGTCTTATGATATTTAAAAGTGGCTTTCTCCTCCCACCCAAACCCAAAGATACTTGTTCTCTGCGACTCATTCATTATTTGTATCCTTCTTGGTAGAGAAGATGAGATCATCAGAATTGATATTACTGGCTCTGGGGAATTGAGTGTTATCTGCATTGATAACTAATTCATGGTTGTTGAGAGCAACTAGAACATCAGCAAAGCAGCGCTGAAGGGATTCAACTGCAGAATGGACAGTTTCCACATTACAGTCAAACATGAGCACTTTGCATAAAGCAGGCATGCATCCCTCTGGCATTTTATAAATGTATACATATAGCCTATCACATATGTTCCTTTTTGTATTTCTTTATGAAATGGTGCAATTGTGTGCATTATGTTTGTACTTGGTAAATCAAATATATCTTCAAAAAGTATGCTGCTAGTGATAAGAGTCTTATCAGTTCCCTCCTTACTATTCAACTATATTTGAAAATAAATATAACACAAGATTCTATATTCAGTCAGTATAGGACACCAAAATGGTGACTATTGCGCCGTGATGCGTTTCACAGACTGAGTTTCCTGCTGGAGACTGAGGCAGCATTCTGCAGCAACTTTGATAGACTATTATATTTATAAAAAGAAGACTTTAACACTTCTGTAGTACACTGTACAAACAAGCTTCAGTCTGCAAAACTGCTTTGGGACTGGTCTTTGCATCATCATTTTTAGACAGATGAATAAAACCCATACCCTTGTGGAGCCAGGGAAGCCATGCAGATTGTGAAAGTATTCTTTTGGCTTAAGTGTGTCTGAACCCTATCCAAGGTGTGGACCTAGGTTCTTCCAGGCCACTGATTTACTGACAGCCACGGATTCTGCCACAGACTCTAATACTATAAATAAATAAAAACCTATGAAAGACTTCGTTGTTCGAGATTTTAATTCAGAAAGCTTGGCAGCAAACTCAGCTGTTTATTTCCTTGTTTGCACACACACATAAAGTATACTGATGATTGTAAGCAGCATGTGGCTCCATCCTACACCTTTTTCCTTTGAAATGGAATGTTCAATTGATTGACAGACAGAGTGGATTGAGCTGGCAGATGCTGTTTAAGACGGGCATTAACTAACTCTGTGGGACTATCATCTAATCTGACGATGAAAACACTTTAGAATGTCACTCTTCCAATTAACATCATGACATTTTTCACTGCACTTCATCATTTCATTAAGAAGAAAGGGAAACCCCTTACTTATCTTGGGTAAAGACTATGCGAAATGGGTCCCTGAATTGTAAACCATATTTAAGTAGTGTTAATGTAAATGATCTTACCTTATGCAGTTAACACAACCAGGCAAATCAAATAAGCGCAACAACATGAGTAAAGAGCAGTAAAAGGCATAGTAAGGGACACATGCTACAAATGCAAGTGGCAGGACTGTTGTAATATATATATGCATGTTATACCACTTTCTCTCTTCCTCTAATTCCTGTCGGCATCTCCTCAGTATCTCATAAAGGAAATGTTCAAATGTAATAAAAAGTGTCTTTAGGATTGTGTGCGTGTGTGTGGAACATGCATAAATCCTGGGTTAGGTCTGCCAGTGGGCTGACATAAATTCACTTGTATCCAAATTGCTTTTAAAAAAGTAACTTTTTTGAAATGGCTGATGTGAGAACCTACAGACTTATAAATAATACAACACACGTTATGTCACTGTGGAACAGAAACAACCAATATCTAAAAAGTAACACAAGTATACGTGACTCCACTTCCAGCAATAAAAAATTAAATAAATAAAAAACCGCACTTAGATACTAACAAAGCACTTGTATACTAACAAAGGACTTATATACTAACAAAGCACTTATATACTAACAAAGCACTTATATACTAACAAAGGACTGGCTTATCTAAAGCCTGTTGAGTAGCACTTAAAATGGTTTGGCTCTATGAAACCTAATGTACTTATATGATTCTGTTTTCTTCAAGTTTGTATCTTCTTGGTCGAATGCACTTATTGTAAGTCGCTTTGGATAAAAGCGTCAGCTAAATGAAATGTAATGTAATGTATATTTACTAAATTACCATATTTTGGAGAGTATTTTGAAGAACTTTTAATTAACTTGAGTATAAACATTTTATACTACAAAATACTTCTACTCCACAACAATTTAGAGGCAAATATTGTACTATTTATTCTTCTATATTTATTTTAGAAACCTAAAAATTATGAATTAATTTATAGATTATGTTTATTCATTAAAGTAAGATCCAACTTTACCTACTGCAAAATAATGTTCACATTAATGGATTGCGAATTACAATCTAGTAAAAATAAATAGTCATTCTGCATAAGTACTTTTAGTTCAGGAACTTCAAGTATATTTTAATGTAAAGTAGTACACTTTTTGAATGCAGGATTTGTACTTGTAACATAAACTGTTCCACAACTGCAGTATACTGGTGTGTTTAGGGCAGCATTACAACGGGAGGATTTATAATGAAGTTTGGGATTTACATATTCATATTCCCATATGTAAAGTTACAAAACTCATACAAAACGCTAGCTAGGTTACTGACTAAGGAAGTAAAGGTTTGAACCAATAGGTTATGCATGCTATCCCCTGTGTCCTGTCACTGTCCCTTCAGTGCAGTACACATCATAGCGTGCACAGTATACAGGGTGTGTGAGGGTGCAGCTGCAGCACCGCGCACTGAGCAACCAGACACACACTGACCTCCAGAGAGGAACAATAAGAACATGTCCATGTTGTCCCATCACATAAAGACAAACACTGGTAGCTGACCGTATCACACTGACAGGTTAGCCGCAGCAGCTAGCTTACCTTACTGTAGCTAGCACCAGACTCACATATGTTCCCACGCGGTGCTAATGTTAAGTTGTCATGTTAGGACAGACAATAATAAAAATACAAATGCTAAGGTTACGTGTCTAACCCTTGCAGAGCAACAGTTCAAAGGATACAGTTTGAAGCCCTTCAAAATCTCCTTGGCCCTGTCTTCGTCTGAAGACATTTCTGAAGTCGCCTGTTTTCGTTGCTTCCAGAAAATAAATCCAGGATGTGATGAAATAACAAAACTGCTGCTGGTGTTAGCTCCACTAACGTGAGTTAGCTAAATGCTCTGCCCGCTAATATTCGCATGAAAACTACGTAAACTAGGTACAACGATACTTAAGTCTATATTGTTGGACTGCAGGTTAAATCTGATCCGATAATGCAATCAGCTAAATATACCCAGCTAACTAACAGACAGCTAGCCTAGCCAGTAAACGGCACGGGGAAGCGCCTAACAGCCAATCACAGACCGAGAATAAAAAGCTTGGGCGGGACCCAGTGGATAGAGACGCGTCACCAGGGGCAACGCCGCCGCACACAGTGAAGGGCAGGCAAAAAAGCTACACCTCAGATAATAACAGGTTGGATGGAAACTTAACATTTCTATCAAACTAAAAGATTGAATTAAATTAATGAGGTAGCATACATCAAATAGTATTGATGAATATCAGATTCTCAAATGTGTTACTGCTTTTATTATACTAGTATTAAACTAGCTACTACCAATACAAATTGTTGTTTAACTAAATGTAAATAAAAGGGTTTGTTGTTGATCATATAGCCAAGCTGTAGGTGATCAGCGGCACAACTGTCCGACATATACTTGTTAAATACTCTCCATTATCCATCCACGAGTACGTATGATTACTTTTTTATACATTTTATAGATACATATAATTGTTTAAAAAAAGTGTATCCATGAATAACAACTTTCAAATGCCTGTATGAACGTCCTGAATAAATAGAAATTCAAAATATGTCTTTTCACAAGACATGGAGAATGATAGGTCAGTCGGGGCTGAAACCAACTGACCACCTAAGTTATCATTTCCACATTGTTACTACCACTTAGACGGCTTGGGATATTGTATATTAAAGTATAACCAAAAGGGAGCATTTATTTAGGGGGGCTCTGGCTCTAAAAGTAATTAGTCCTGTCCATTGCATTTCTACATATCGGCCATCATGCAACTCCCAGTAACACCATAAAGACAGGAAATCAAAAATACAAGTATCTGAAAGTAATTTCAGTATTATGATTGTAGTTGTTAAGTTGAATGTCCATTTCCTTTTCTTAGTTGTGTCCTTGTTGATGTTGCAAAGGGAGTTGCTGTGATGCTAATGACATCATCTCCCTGATGGCACCCATAAACACTGAAGTGTCTGGGAATCAGACAGGGTAGATTGTGGCTGCAGGTGTTTCATCATGGAGTCAGGGTGGATTGTGGCTGCAGGTGTTTCATCATGGAGTCAGGGTGGATTGTGGCTGCAGGTGTTTCATCATGGAGTCAGAGGGGCCTGCACCCACCTGAGCACTAACCATGAAGGGGCCAACAGCCTGCAAAGTGCATCATCCAGACATACACCACCTCTTGATAGTGAGGTGCAGACCTCCAGGGAGGTTTTATTACACCGGTCAATGCAACATTATATTTTATGCATTATTGAACAGTAACGAGGCATCAGTGTACCATCTATGTTCACAAACAATGTTTAAAAAAAAAATCAAAACATCATAGAAAAGGCGCAAAGCAGAAGACAAACGACACCAGTCTGGCTTTCAGAGTTTAGAAAACGTTTATTAAGTGACAGATTAGTCCTTCTTGGCAGCAGCTTTCCTCATGGCAGCCAAAACGTTGCTCAGCTCCTCCCTCTTTCTCTTGGCACGGATGTGAGTGCCAATCTGTGGAGGAGAGAGAAACATTAGACTCAACACTACTACATAGAGAAAAGGCTCAACCCTCTAGCCTACTATCAGCACATGCTACAGACCAATACAAGCTCTGCAGTAGATTGTACCGCTGCATGTACAAGTTGCTCTGTCACAGATGTAATGAACATGCTGCTGTGGCTGTGCAGCAGCGCTCTGACTTGACAAACACTAACTTACCCTCTTCTTAATGAACTTGAGGGCTCTCTTGTCCTTGGACACCTTGAGCAACTCCATGGCTCTCCTCTCATATGGAGCAAAGCCACACACCTCACGGATCATGTCCCGGACAAACTTGCTGTGTTTGGTCAGACGCTGCAGAGGAAAGAGAAAGCTTTAAAACGACAGATCCTTTCAAATTATACAGGAATCGTTGCAATGGACATCTGTTTATACAGATATTACATATTCTGCAGAAAATCAATGCGAGTAAATCATGCTTTACAAAAATTGGATTTATAAGCTTTGACCCGCGACTTGAGAAGTTGACTTTTGACCATCTTATCAGACATTGTAGGGAAAAGAGGACTCTGCCCTGAGCTACATCTCCGAAACTCTTCTGTTCTTTAGCAGCCTGGCATTGTCTTCGCCATGTATGGACAGATTGTCCCCAGGCTTTAGAGGTGGCTAGTTTTAGGAAAGTTACATTTAGGGCTTATTGGATTAATCTGGAACTGCATGTAGTAGCATTTTTAATTTTTGAAAGATTATGATTAATTATGGCAAAAATCATAATCTCGATTATTTGGGTCAATAATTGATATCACGATTATTAAAAACGATTATCCATTTACTTTGAAAACATCAATTTATTACATTTGAACAGTATTTTTTTAACAGTTGATTACCCTGAACCTTAAGTGTAATTCAACTGAAAAACCAATACAAAATAAAATCATTTTATTTCGATTACGTTGTTTTCGTAATTGTTGCAAGCCAAAATCGTAATTGCGATTAAAATACGATTAATTGAGCAGCCCTATATTTAAGCATTCATGATTCAAACAGGGAAAAGTTGCATTTTGACTCTTGCAGTGGGATATGCACATAGGATGGAAATCAGACTGGTACTAGAGATTATTTAAAATATACATTAAAATGTCAGTTATGTACCTGTTATATTAGGCTAATAAAAATGTCCCACAGCCAAGGTTTATCTATTTAAATTGCTTGTTTTTGTCCTAAAAATCAAATGCATGTATTCTGACATCATGAAGCCTGATAATGCTTCTCATAGTGCCAACATGTCTTAGGTGAGCAAAAAAATTATTGATGGCAAATAATCCATTAATTTTGGATGGGACAGGGTGGAAGAAGTATCACATTTTAAATAGACTGGCTTGATTTGCTGTCAGATATTCAGCATCTAATCAGGACATGGATCAGCTTGTAACTTGTGAAATTACATGTTGTCTTGTTACAAACTGATCTCAGACAAGCACATTAAGCATCACACTCCTAGTGAGGTCTGGAGTGCTTTAGTAATAGCAGTAATGTATTAAATGTGAATACAGGCAGTCAGCATCAGAAACTCACCCCACGCCGGCGGCTGTGTTTGGGGGCAGTCACATTTTTGGTGACTGGGTGGCCCTTGTTAAGGCCAACAGCCATAGGGTAGCGGATAGCCATTTCTGCAGGAGATGAGAACATTTAAAAATCAGTCACAATTGATACAACTTTTTCCAGACCCATTTAAGCAGCAACCACATGTTCAACAGTCAACAGAAGCACTTCCGCTGGTGCAGATATAACGCTTTATGTTTTCAGAGTTAGCATGCAGTGCTAACGTTAGCGTAACAGAACCGGGTGGACATACAGGTGAAGTTACATTACACTTTACCTGAGAGAAATGTTTCTAAAAACACGTCTCAGTACAAAATGTACCGTGTAGCTCCTATACGTGTTATGCAATGAGGTATAGAGATCGCTTTATGCACAGAATGAACACAGCTGTGGGGCTTACGAGTCACTGACAGGGATTCCATTTTTCCTATCTTTCACTTGTTCTTGTGACAAAAATAATGCCTACAGATGTTAGATACGTTCTATATGTGTCTATAGTTTCACTGTGTCCGGTGGAAAAGGACGGATGGTAAAGATTATACGTGGATTTTGGCAGATAGTTGTCAACATTTAAATCTTACCTGCTGTCTATGATGGCGGTCAGACCGGAAGGACTGTGGAACGAGAAAGGCGGGGTAATGACAGGTCTGACCCGGAAGAGACGTCTGCGGCAACAGAGCACTGCCCCTATCGGTCTGGATGAGTTACTGCTGTTTAATCAGTCTTTTGCTTTATTTATTTTTGGTATTAATGCTGTGATATTATATTATCATCCAGTAAAGTTCATGTATCTGAAAATAAAACACATCTGTTTTTTATATATATCCCTTTCATGCATGAATTATGAAAACCTCAGTCAGGATCTTTTTACCAAGTGTTATTATTGCTCTTGGGGCATGAAAAACAAGATTTGACAATTTTTTTTTTTTTAATCTATTTTTTTAAAATAGATTTTTATATGTCCACTCAGGTGGACAGTATGCGTTCAGGGTTTGAACTGAAAATATGTAAATTTGGAAAAAATGATAAATAAAGATGTGCAAACTTAAAATTACATTATAATAACATAAGTATATTGATTTACGGCGCAAAAAGATATTGCAGATGAAATATTTTCAAGAATAACCAGGGCCAGGGGCCAATTTGAGGCCCCACGCACAGTTATTTGATGAGTGCTAGTGGAGCCTCGCAGTGGCGAAACCGTGCCGCGCCACCCTAATTGCGCCACATAAGCGCATAGGTGCGCCTCAGATGAGGCCCCCCTCCGCAAGGTGTGGCCCCCTCCACAAGGTGAGGCCCCACACAGTCTGCGTGATCTGCCTGTAGGGAGGGATGGCCCTGGGTACAGCAGCAGCAGTACCAGTATGAATTGTAGTTGAAATATAGCCAGTGATGCATGACGTCCACTGTAGTGGACAGGTGGTTAATCATGATTTCCTGCAAACATAAAATCAATACTTTGATAATTTATGGATTATATGATTCCTTAGTTGTTACTTGATGTCACCACATTTTTTATACCTGCAGGGAGCACTTTCCATGAAAGGATTGGCAAGATATAGATTCCGATTTATCATATTGCAGGTTGTGGTCCAGTTCAACACTACAAGGTCCATTCTTGTTTTGTAGAAAAGAATAAGAGTTGCTCCAATATTTTGTATTTCATTTCATATCAGTATTACAAAATAAGGACAGGTCAGTGGAAATTATTTCAATGTTATGATTAAAGAGCTCATCACTATTACACTATAACTAAATATTTTGGGAAATACTACTGAAAGCTATACGTATTATATGTAGGTAAATGAAAGTCTCCTATGAACTACCTCGGAAAAAATGTCAGTAGTTCGAGACAATGCATGCATTTGATAAACACATTAGTTTCCTTAAAATGTCCTTTTC